ATGCACAACTGTGCTGCATATTTATGTATCCTATTAGTCTATCATCTTTCTTAGCTGCTGTTCTAAAAAGCATAGTTTGGCTTAGGCATAGGAGTAGGAGTGTTTTCAAAACTTATAACATACAGCTGTACTATGAAGGACAAAATAATTATTTTTGAGGATTATTCTGACCACATAATTAAATAATCCTGCACAATTTCATGCAAAGCAGATCAATTATTTTAACTGTTTTTTTTTTCTGCAAGCGTACACACCTGTTAGTATAAATGAGTTATAAAAAGGTTTGTTTTTTTTTTCATTTATGTGATACAGGGAACGGTATTAAAGAATAGGATAAATTAAGGAAGCCCATAATTTCAGAGAGCTTTCTCATAATATATAACAGACCGTCAGCTTCCCGGGGCGGGGGCCGTAATCTTGGGCCTGTAAAACAGCACTGGGCAAAATAGCTGAAAGTAAGTATATAGCGGGTTATTAACATAATCATCTAGATCTTTTCTATCAAAAACATCTCCTTTCAATTAGCCAGTCAGAGTAACAAGCAATGTAATTAGTATATTTAATGGCATCAAAAATAATAAAATTCAGTCCTGACATGTTAGGCATTCTCCTATTTTATCTTCCTTAGAAGCTGAAACTGACTTACCAATCGATTTTTTAAAGTTATTCAGCAAATACATCCCCATCTCCCTCAGAATATCAATTAAGTAACTGTCCACGGATATCTATCTTTTGAAACCTGTCTGCTAAATCACATTATAGGTGTCAGAGTTAACATGTCTACAAACTTGTCCAATCTATACTGCAGCTTTAGAATTTACTAGCCAGCACTTTAATAACTGAAATAAAGCACTTTCTGTATTCCAAGTCTCACTTATAGCAATGAAATTGCCTAAGCACGAAAGTCAGGAGTGGTGGTGGGGAAGTACCCACCCAATTGTTGAGATTTTGTCCAAAGTCTGCTAGTTTCTGAAGACAGAAGTCCAATAGTATAAATATATCGGAAGCCTTCTAAGCTAGGTCTAAACGATGGCCCCCAACACAAATTCTATTACTCTCTCTCTTATTAATAGAATCTTTAACAAGCACACAGTTACTGCTTCTTTCCTGTTTGAGTTAATGTAAAATCAAATCCTGGGAAACAATCCACAGACTTCTCTGCAACATATACTAAAATAATTTGCTAAAGCTATTTACACATCATTACTCTGAAATGAGAAAATTTGCAAAAGGACAGTCTGGTTGAGTGAAAAATATGCAACATTCAGAAACTTAAGTCAGAATGTCTTAAAAAAAAAAAAACAGAACAAAAGAAACAAAAAACCCACACATTTGCCATTACTACTGGTTACTCAATCACAGCATATAGAAAGAAAGGCATTTTCCCTCAACTGCTCCTTCCTGATGCTGGATATCATTATGACAACATATAGCAGTAGATATCTCAGGAGAAAGAGGAGAAACTGCTGAATGAGTTTGCTTTCTCTTACATTTGGTACAAAAGAAAAAGAAGGAAAAAGTATTAAATTGTTTTTAAATTTGGATTTGCAATCCAGAGCAAATATTGCCAGTGACATAAATTGGCTAAAGGGCAGAGAAATGTTGCATGGGGAATTTTAGGGGGCTGTGTGCCTTTTTCGGAAGCTGTGTGAGTTCCCCATTACTGCATGAATGGTACTTCATAACATTATGAAAATATTACAGGCAATCAAAATCCAGTCTATTCAAGCTGCGCTGGACAAGTCTTTCTTCTCGTAATACCAGAAAGCGATACTGAGAGTTAAACGGACGTTATTCTGTAATTTAATCTATTTTAGTGTTATGTAATAATCTCACCTTACACTCTCTAAAAGTGAACTGGTAATAAAGGCTCCAGATAAGATGCATCATCACAGCAGTATCTTAGAAAACTGCTAATATGACTGCTAGTTTTCTGTTTATTTCTACTTCAAATACAAAATTATAATTAACATTAAATACTTCAGAGTTTCTTCATGCACTGGAATCCAGACATTCAATTTATTTCAAGTAATCCCTCCAAATTATTGGTAAGCTTTTACTTCATTTAAATGCTTCACTGCTTTATTTGCATGGGTCAGCAAACTTTTAAAGAAGACTTCAGAAGCTGACGAGGCAGATACCTGCATGTTTAGGAAGCTAACGGTTTTAGAGAGAGGAATTATGACATATCCCTGTTATAGCCCCACTTTCCCTTATTTTCTGAATTCACAGACAAAGACCTACAAAGAGATTCCATCTAGTTTTTTTTTCCTGCATTCAGGCTTTCAATTACCAGTTTTCACTTCATTACTCTTAGTTATATTTCTCTACACACGCTAAGCCCTCTTATCGTTGTATCCACCTTCTACATGGTTTTACATTTACACTGATTTTCCTCCTCTTTTTTTACTTCTACGATTAAGCGAAGAAAAATAAACCTCAAAGGGCTACTTGTTAAATTAAGGGAGCAAAAATATAGGGAGCAGTTTATACGGCCACAAACATTCATGTAGTGAAGAGGAGCAATAAAGTAGCGATTAGGCTGTCAACTCCAGGCAAAACTTCCAAAGAAAGCGTTCACGAGCTCGTGAGTTTCGACAAACCTAAATCTTGCGATATTAAGCACGATGCCAGGAAAATACACCATCCGAGCCCCGTTTCGGCAGGGAGACGGCAGCTGGGTTTTCACTTCCCAACGGGAGCCGGGAGTTGCCAGTCATTTTGAGGGCAGGAAGGAGGGGCTGGCGGCAACAAATCGCTTTTTGCTTCCACCAGCACAGGCACTTTTTATAACGCGAGAGAGCCCGGGACTCGGGGGAGGTGGGCTCGCCGCAGGGCGGGCAGCGGCTTCGCGGGCGACTGA